GGGGGGGGGGGACATCCTAGACTTGGTTCTGGCCAGCAGGGAGGGTCTAGTGGACGATGTGCAGATTAGGGGAGCTCTGGATGCGAGTGACCCCCCCCCCATCCTATGCTTGGCGTTCAGGGGAGGGGATGAGCGGCAGGTCAAGTACTAGGAGTTGGGACTTTGGTCAGTGGAAGGCCAGGCTGGGGGGAGCCTCCTGGGAGGGGGCACTGGAAGGCAAGGGAGTTCGGGGGGTGGATGGCTCTGAAAAGGGAAGTCTTGGAGGCGCAAGCCTTGGCGATATCGTTGATTGGCCAAGCGGGGAGGCGTAGGAGGGTGCCACTGTGGATGCGGAGAGAGGTGTAAGAGGAATTAGAAGGCAGACCTTCACTGGAAATGGACACGTGAACCGAAGGGCGTACCAGGAAGGGTTCACTAGCACAATCCAGGATTCTGTGCAAGGCTAAGGCTGATTATGAGCAGATCTGCAAAATATGTCAAGAGGAACAAAAGGGGCTTCTACCTTCTTGTAAACAGGAAGAAGAAGGGGAGACAGGCGGTGGGAGCACTTGCAAGGGAGGGAGGGGACCTGGTAACTGATGTAAGGGAACAAGCACAGATGTTAAATTATTTTGCTTCTGTGTTCTCCCCAAAGCAGGCTGGGGGAGATCTGGGAGGCTCGATGAGGTTGAGATTATGGGGCACAGATTGGAGTCACCTCCCTAGAAGTCGAGGAGCTCCTCAGGGCACTGGATGTTGCACCCAAGGGTACTTCTGAAATTGGCAGGTGTACTCTCGTGTCCGTTGGCGTACATTTTTGAGGGCTTGTGGAAAAGAGGAAAAGTTCTGGAAGACTGGAGGGTGGCATCAGAGGTTCCAGTCTTCAAAAAGGGTAGCAGAGGGGATATGGGAAAGTCCATTCTGGGAAAGACAATAGAAAAGCTCTTAATAGGGAAAGCTTCCCTAGGTAGGGAAGGAAGGTTGGCAGCCACGCAGTACTGTTTCTGTAAAAACACGTCCTGCCAGGCAAACTTGTGGAATTCTATGATAAGGTCTCGAGGCGGCTAGACGGAAGGGATGCAGTGGATGTGGTTTACCCAGATCTCAGCAAGGCCTTTTACGAAGTGCCACATGATATCCTCGTTGAGAAACTGTGGAGCTTTGGGATAGATCGATGCACTGTCTGATGGACTACTGCATGGCTGACGGACCAAAAGCAGAGGGTGACTATCAGTGGGGAATCATCAGGATGGCAGCCAGTGACAAGTGGGGTCCCCCAGGGCTCAGTTCTGGGACTGATTCTGTTCAGCCTTTTTATCGACGACCTGGAGGAAGCGATAACCAGTTTGCTGACTAAATTCGCGGATGATACCAAAGTGGAGGCTGTGGCCACAACTGAGGAGCAGGTGATTCAGATCCAGAAGCATCTGGACAGGCTGTGGAAGTGGGTGGGGGACGACGGGATGGCGTTCCGTGTGGATGAGTGCAAGGTCTTGCATCTGGGGCACAGGAATGGGTGTCACGGGTACAGGATGCGGGACAAGCCGCTGGAGAGCGGCACTTGTGAAAGGGCCCTCGGGGTCCTTGTTGACTGCAGGCTGAGCATGAACCAACAGTGTGGTACAGTGGTTACTGCTTAGCCCCAGTTCCCTGTCCTTTGGCTAGAATAGTTGTGGACGGTGTTGTTGCTGAAAGCGCTTGGCATTGAGAAAATGCTGGCTGGACACGCCTGCAGGACTGGTGGGTGGGCGCTTTTGCGGGGTCCTTAAGTTCACTCCATGACACACAACACCAGCTCCCTTTTTACGTTAACCTACGTTATCTATTGCCGTCTCCTTGTCTTGCATACCACAAAAGCACTGGGCTGGATATGTGATAGATGGAAACAGATGATATGGAGTACACCAAATGTTATTTTGTGCTGCAAGGGCATAGATATATGCATGCATTATTTTTCTGACCTTTCATGCAAACAAGGAACTTTGAACTAATTAGTCACCAACATCAGCATTACTGGCTTAAAGCAGGCCATTCAAAATCCATCAGCAGCCCTGCCTGAGGGTCTGCCCAATCTTTTCTGGGAAAACTCCATTTCCAGGGAGAAAGTCGCATGGTTATATTAGCATATCGGACTGTCAGTGTGTTGCTCCATGATTTCAGGCAGACGTCCTGCCGAGCAATTCTCTACCCAAGTCCTTATGCTGAATACGCCAAGAACCGGATCTGGGATTTTCTCATGTTAAGGCAGGTTCTGGCTCAGTGAGCTCTAGCCCATCCCTTTCCTTTCTCACAAGCTTTTCAAAGTAATGTCTAGCAGGCCCCTCCTGCCCCATGGCTGACCTATGGTTTGGGTCACTGAAGCGTCTCTAGGTTCTGATCAGGAAAAAAAAGATAAGGCTTACGAGTTGTCCCACACAGCAGAACTGATTACAAGATAAAACTATAGCTTATTTTGTATCTTGAAGATCTCACCCTCCCAGTACCAGTTCCGGAGCAGCAGCAGAACTCCAGCTGTGTCAAACCACAGTTTATGTGCTTCCTCCTGGCTCCGAAGGTCAGCTGTGGCACATGGGGCTACCCAGCAAAGATTCCCTTTGGGGGTACCTGTTTGTCTGGGGCACCAGCTTTGCTGCTTTCCCTTCCAGCTTCCATGGCTGCTTAGTGACGGGCAGGCGCTCCTTCTTCAGGAGACTCTCAGCAGCTGGGCTGGCCAGTATTGTGTGTGGAGTGAAAGGATGCCAAGCGCAGTCTCGTGTCATGCGTATCACCTGGCCAGACACCTAGACTCCCGCCTGGTAGAGACAAACAGGAACACCGGTAGCTTGGGCTTTGGGAACTTTCAGTGATGCAGCTGGTTTAAAGACAAACTGAGGGTACCAAACACCATTCAGTGAAGAAAGATTTTATAAATTTGCTTGTCCACTTCTGTCTCGATTTTTTTACATTTTTACAGTTTTTACATTCATTATTACTCAATCCAACACACAACAGCATTTTGTATGAACTCGCTTTCCAATAATGGAACCTGATCAGGTCTTGTTTCCTATGGAACCTCCACGGTATTTTAGTTTACAAACAAAGCCTCAAGTTAGTTAGGTACTACTATGATCCTCACATTTCTGGGCCATCCAGAAAAAGGATGATGGTCAGAAAGCAGAACAGCCCCCACCAGCCTGCAGTCTGGAAAACAGCCTGATCTGCAGCCATGACCAAAATTAAGGACGAAGCAAAAGCATCCAGAGACAAATAACGGGTAAAGCTTATTTTAGTTGCTAGGTCAAATCAGCCTCTAGTTCCAGTACTTGGGTCACTACTTCTGTACTCCTGCCCATCGTTTGGCCTTTGAGTGGGGCTGTCCAGGAGTTTCCTCTCTGGACTCGCTGTCTCACTGCTCGGTCTTCAGCTGACTGGGAAGGTGGCCCATCCACGGTCCCCGTTTACCCAGATAGTTGGAAGCGGCACCCTCAGTGTGAGTCTGCATGGAGCAGAGACAGAGAGGGGTTCCTCTCCCTGCCTGATCCGCTTCTCACGGACGCATACAGAATCACTACTTGATCCCTAGAGAAGGAAGGGCGTTTCAGAGCGTGCTGAAGCTGGAGGCCTTCTGCAAGGCAGTCTAGAAGGGGACCCCGGCTTCCTGTCTCACTCAAAGCAGCAGCTTCCTTTGTTGTTCATCATGGAGGGATCAGTCAGGCTCACAAGCGTCTCCGGAGTTGCGCTCACAATTCGAATCTCTGCTCCACCTCGCTGGCGATCATTTTTGCAATGGCGAGGGAGGAGGTCGCAGCAGGGGAAGGCGCGTTTCTGACATGCAGAATTCGGCTGCCAATGTCGCCAGTGCCTCCGTCAAACACAAAATCATCCACCAAGTTCCCATCGCTGTCCAAGGCCTGAGCTCTGACACCAGCTGGACCTCTGTGGAGAGGAAGGAGATGCTGGGCATGTGAGTAAGACAAGGGGAAACCGAGACGATTTCACGATGAATCTAACAGAAGGCTCTGCCTCAGAAACTGAGGGAGGAGTACCAGTGTCCAGACACGGGATATTCTACCTGCCTCCATCGCTCTCAAGGCTGCTTCGCACGCGCGTGTTTTTAAGGCCTACACACGAGCCTGAGTGAAGGTGAGACCACCCCGACTGCTCTTGGTCTGCAAAGCCCGGCGAGCACGTCGTTCACCCAGGCCCCAGGAGCGCTTCATGACCCCAGGTAACTGCATCACAGCCTCTGTGCACCTGAGCAGTAAAGGGCACGGCAAGCAGAAGAGCCTCACTGGCACGTCAACCAACAAGCTGGGGACCCACCGCGCAGGTTAATATTCTGTCGACAAGCTGCAAGAAACATCCCCAGCCCACCCCGTCGGAGCGAAAGGCCTCTGCTGCTTGCAGTTCCCTGAATTCCTCACAGAACTGGGGAAACCTGGATGGTCTCCACGACTCATCTTGCGCTGAACAGGGCTGGCTGCTTATCTGCTCCTGCACTGCTATGGAACCACATGCCCCACCACCGCTGCATGGACTGCTTGGCCCAGGACCACCGCTGCATGTTCCGCGTTGTCCAGAAGGAGCCAGGCCGTAACTGCTGAAGGGCAAGCAGGGTGATGTCAGAGCGGATCCTGGGAAGTACTTCGGCATTGCAGTTTGGGGGGATTGCGCAAGTCCGGCCTTGGTGTTTTTTTGATCACAACATGTGTTCTTGTTAATTATGTGTCACTGCTGTCTCTCGCTGTCCTTTCGCGTTTGGTTTTCGTTAATAACAACATCACTTTATGCATTTATGCAAGTCCCTCTGCCTTTCTCTGTGCTTTCTTGGATTTCGGAACCCTTCACCTTTGTGTTAGTTCACATCAGTTCGCAACGTACATCATCCACACACATCGGCGCACTTCATCTTTTTACTCCCACGTAATGCTCAAACTAGCCACCATGGGAGTTGTGGGGCTGCTGCTGGGAGCTGCAACCGCGCGTCATTTCCCTCCCTGGCTCCTCTGCCCCATGTGATACAAAGCACAGGACACAACACAATTGTGCTGTGGGCTTCCCTTCAGCCAGTGCAAAAGGAGAAAGCTCACCACACAACTATGTTGCATCACACAGTTTTGTCTCCAGTGAGAACACTCAGTGGAAGGAGGCGAAGCTGGGCCGCTCTTTGCAGAGGCACTTTGCATCTGCTGCCAGAGCCGGTCCTGGCTTGAGCTTTCCCCTCTTCAGGCCCGTTAACACACCTTCGTTGGAAATCCTTTTTTTTTACCTGAGAATATCGTTGACGGTAACTTCTGGCACAAATTTCTGGAGTTGTTTCACTTGTGCGGTAAGAAAACATGCTCTGTACATCTCCCCCATCCCATAGGAGAGGTTCCTGAACACCAGCTTCCACAGGCCACTGGGAAGAAGGAAACACACACCGTGTTCTGTTCAGTCATACCGGCGGCCTCCCTTCCGAGTGTTGAGCTCTTCCTTCATTCGTAGTTTTATTTATTTGTTACATCCATTTATACCTCGTCCTATCGCTTCACGCGCTCAGGACGGCTTACAGGATAAGCATGTAATAAGCACACATTTCCAAACGCTGGATGTATTCCATGCTGGTGAACCATCCCTGGATATATCGCTATTACAGCTATAATAGCCAGTGCTGTGTCGTGGTTAAGAGCGTGGGACTGGGACTCAGGCGATCTGGGTTCTAGTCCCCGCTCAGCCATGGAGCCAACTGGGTGCCTTTGGGCCAGTCACTCTCTCAGCCCAACCTACCTCACAGGGTTGTTGTTGTGGGGATAAGATGATGGAGGAGGAGAGATGATGTAAGCTGCCTTGAGCCCTTTGTAGGAAAAAGGCAGGATATAAATCGAATTATTATAATATTATTATTATATTATTTCCAGAAAAGTAGCTGTGTCGGGGGACAATTCCACACACACTTAACACCGGAAAAGGTCCTGCAACTATGTAAGCCATCCTGAGCACTTGTACGGAAGGACGGGATACAAATGTTTGTAATAAATAAATTCGTAAAAGAAACTCATGCTGGAGGTACAGAACTTTTCCTGCCAAAACATGCATTCCTGGATGGTGCCCTTCCTCAGCACCGGAAAGACGTAACAAATGTATTCTGGCTTTGGTGTATTGAAGTCAGCCGCATCAGGGGCGCTGTCATTTCAAGTTTGCATGGAGTACATACATGAGTGAAGAAAAACACAAGGAACAAATAAATGCAGCAGGTGACAAGCTACAATTTAAATGTGCGTAAAATAATGGCAGTGATCATTTTCAAAGAAGTGTGGGTGGCGACACAAACATCCCGGCATTGGTAAGCTAAGGAACTCTGCGGGTACCAAAACAGTTGCCTTGAATCTTCTGGCCCAACCCCGGGTATTTTTTATATCTCATTTACTCCTGACCCCGTGCTTCTACTATTTTTCTCCCTGTGCCCACATGTATATACACCCGCCGGTTGGGAACACACCCTCAATCCGGTAACGCCATCTCCAGCGCATGAAAGCTTATGCCATGGTAAAATTATTAATCTTTAAGGTGCCGCAAGAGACTGTTATTTCTAGGGTAGCTGAGGCAGAGCTCTGGGAAGCATAACACGTAAGAAATGGCGCCAGTGCTTCGTGGAGCTGCACAGGAGCCTGGCAAAGGCACACCCCCAAGCCCACATCCGCTGGCATGCACGGAGGGGCACAGGGGCAGTGCAGAAAGAATGGGCAGGCAGGCAGGCTGCTTCTCCAGCGCCTGCCAATTCCCCACTGGAAACACCCTGCCTCCGAAGAACTTTTCCCCGAATGGCCCTTTCTTCTGATTCCAGAGCTCAGCCAGGGGCTGTGCGGGGGAGAGGGGATGAAGCGCCCTCTTTTCATTAGCAAATTATCTCCAGCGAAGGTCCCAACACCACCATCACATCACGCTCGTATCCCAACTTCCTTCCCCTTGCAGGGAACTGCAGGCGGCTTACAAGCCCCCGCCCCCATTTTATCCTCACAGCAACAATCCTGGGAGGTGGGTTAGGCTGAGAGGCAGTGCCTGCTGCAGCACCACCAAACGGTGCTGCAGCAGGCACTGCTGCATGGCTGAGTAGGGACCAGAACCCGGATCATCCAAGGCTAGTCCAACCCTCCGAGTCACTCCAGCGGCTCTCACTTGCCTTGCGCACTGACTTGGGAACCCCGTGTTTGAGCCGTGTCGCCCAGCACTGCACAGGAGGTCTGGACTGGGCTAGGAGAGGGTGCTCCAGCCACATGGTCCAAAAGGCCTTGCGCAGTAAGCAGGTCATGGGGGCCGGGCTGAAGCAAAGAGGGCAGAAAATAATAGAAAAGTTGGTGTTGAACTAAGGAGATGGAAAGGAAGGAACAGCGAATGTGAAGCAGAGCTGTGTAAGGAAGGGCTGGAAGGTTACGGCTTGTGTAGGGCTCTGGTGGAGAAGAAACAGCAGAGCGGCAACCGGAAACCCGAGGGCAAGAAGCTGCTCTGTCTCCTGCACTGCCCATCGAGAGGCTGTGCTGGGATCCCTCCGGTGCCTGCACAGAACCCCCCAAGCTGCGGAGGGGAGCAGTGCGAAGACAGTAGCGAACTCTCATTTTAACCTGTAAGCAAAGGGGGGGGGGGGGGGGAACAGTACCTGAAAGCAACTGCATCGGAAAAATCCTGGATGCTGAAGTCACAAAATCTGTATCCCTCTCGTTTGAAGGCAAGCACAGCATTAGGGCCCAGCCAGACGCTCCCATCCATCCTTGGGGTGAAATGAATGCCCAGAAAGGGGAAACGAGGATCAGGTACCTGTTGCAGCAAAGCACGAGAAATGCTCCCGAAATCAAAATGCATCTGAAAAACGCATCCTCCTGCGACTGCTTTTCTCCATCAGGAGTTAGGAAAGTTATGAGACACCGTGTAGCTACGAGAACAGCTCAAGTATCACATGTGGATGGTTCTGGCTGCTGCTGCTCTTTTACATAGGCAGTACATGCCGTGTCTGAACCACAATGGTCTCAAATTGAATCTCGGTTTCTCTCCTGCTGTTTTATTTATTTATTTAGAATATTTATATGCTGTCCTGTCACAAAGGCCTCAGTTCCCGTGCTACTCTCTGTGCAAATCTCATAAATGCGCGCACACACACACACACACACAACTGCCTCTCTGGGCTTGGCACGTAAAACAAAATCCCAAATGGTACATCTGGACAAAAACACCCTTTATAGCCACACTTATACTGATACCGTTTTTAAAAGTAAGAGAGAGAGAGAGAGTGTGTGTGTGTGTGTGTGTGTGAGAGAGAGAGAGAGAGAGAGAGAGAGAGAGAGCGAGCGAGCGAGCGAGCGAGCGAGCGCTTTCTGAGACTGAAGCAGACTTGTTTGTATCTGGTCAGAATTAGGCCTTTTGTTAGGTGAAATGATGGATAGAGGAAAAATTAGCTGAGGGGCTTTTAAGGTACAGCAAAGGAAAGAGCGAGGTGGCTGTGACTTGGCAGTGGGTCTGGAGCATGTTTTGAGCAACTGGTCACAACAGCCAACAACCTGTTGCCCAGGTGTGTCCGCTCTAAGCAGAATGATCTAGACTTCGGTTATGCAGCAGCACAACTGCCTCCCACTAGCATCCTAGCACCACGGTTTCGTCCAGCAAAGCCACAGGAACCGAGGTTGTGGGATCGGTTCAACACTCCCACAAAACCGCAGCTGCCAGAGTTCCTTGAGGGAGCCCTGATGGTTTCAGCTGGCTTAGGCTTGCTAAGCCGCTGTGAGACTCAAGGTTCCCAACGCACATGTCCTCTGCATGGCTTTGTGGCTGTTTATGTGCTGTCAACTTATGGTGCCCCTCTGACTGAAGCCCCCCAAAATGCCCCATTCATGGCAACCCTGCTTAGCGGTTCTCTTAGCTGTGCATTCATTCACAGAGTTCACCCATCTCTTTTTGGTCTTCCCTTTCTTCTTCCACCTTCAATCTTTCCTAGCATCCTTTTCTGCTCCAGAGTTCTGCCTTCTCATGATGTACCCAAAGAATAACAGCCTCAGTTTTGTCACTTTTGCTTCTACTGACTGCATGGTTCACTGAGCAGTTAAACAAATGCTAAATAAAATCAGTAAAAATCAAGATCTCACTGTAGAAAGTGCCAAGTGACGTACCGGATAAATATTTCCTCTAACCAGATAACACTTCTCTGGTTTTAGCACCAAGTAATCGCCCCGGAAAGGCACGATGCGAGGCTCTGGACTGCAGCCGCTGACTTGAGAGAGGCGGTCCGAGTAAAGCCCCGCGCAGCATACGAGGTGCCGGCACCGGATTTCCTCCCCCTGCCACGAAAGGAGCACAAGCACATGGCAACGAGAACGGCATCTGGCAACGCGGGCACAAGAGCCATGGGAGTCTGATGCCTTCTCCTCTCCCTTCGGTTTTCACACCTCCCATGGTGACACCCCCCAGGGTAGAACTGACGTGGGCCAACAGAAGTACAGTGCCTATTCAGACTGAGAGCGATAGTGAGCACTCACCAGAGTGACGTTCTGGTTTCTAAGCAATTATGCCATGTCGCCAGAACAACTTTTTCTGCCTTTAACTTGTCTGTTCTACTTCAAAATGTAGACAAGCAATAATTATGCGGTGCATATGCCTCCTGGCACTAACAGTGGCTTTCAGGGTAATTATGCAGTGATCATTTATCATACAAAAGCAGGATTACCAAGCCTCTGAGGTCAGTTTACGCACCGTTACTCTTTTTACAATCAGTTGCCTATGGAGAGGCAAGGAGAGGAGAGAAAAAGAGACTGACGTCTACAATTCTACAAGAAGGCAGAAAACTCCTCAACTGAGCTGCGACGCAAGAGGGATATTGAGCAGATCCGACACAAACATACTTTACTGCTCGAGTGGTTTTCTTGTTTTAAAGCAACCTCACTTCTGCTACTTCTCCTTCCCGGAATTTTATTTCTAACAGTTCTTTGGTTCCAACACTACAGACTGTTGTAATAAATGGAAAATAGTAATACTATCAAAAGCATTTCTAAACAGTCTTTTAAAAGGCTGGATATTGGACTAAAAGTGACGTATTTTCACCAGCCTCTGTGACCACCTTTGGAGGCTTTCCGAGAAGTTCCTTACCCACCGACGTATTAATACCAGGATTATTCCAGGTAGTATATACAGTAATTGCTAATGATGCTTTCCTTGTCAAATAGCAGCTGTTGGGGGGAACTAATACCTGGTTTCAACAGTGGTGTCTCCCTTTGACACCGTTACGCTCCCTGCTTTAGGCTACTGAACAATGTTGCTGTGGTTTTTGTTCAGAGGTATAATTTTTGTGGCGAAACCTGATTTATCCAAAAAGAGATAAAGGATGAAAAACCGATGTCTCAAGAATGACTGCCTAAAAAGAGTCATATGTTAAACAAAATACTTCACCCCCGAGCCATACAGGGACTATTTTGAAGACTGAAAAGCAAGCACATGGCCTCACAGGGCAGATGCTGTGTGTTTTTTCCATCTTGAAGAGGTTTCCTGGTGACAGTAGCAACCAGGGTAAAGTATTTGCATTCTTGACATGCAAGAAATGCAGCAACAGGAAGATGAAATACGTGCACTTTAAAAAATAAAAATTGTATCTGAAGCTTTGCCGCCTTACCTTCGAATTTCTTACAACAACCGGATATTTCATTCCTGTAAATAATAAAATGAAATGCTGTGTGTGTCATGAAACAATCGTCGAACCAGACACTAGAACCAAAGTGCTCGTTGTCATAAGAAATCTACGAGGAACATTCTCTGTCCTAATCTACTGGTGTCATCGATAAATAAAAGCTATTTGAGGCCACATTTCCTTCCTTCTAGTATATATCTGAAAACAGTATTTGGGCCTCTGAAGGACTCGCTTTCCTTCTCCCTTCTTCTGATTTGCCTGAGACACGCATTTTAGCCACCCATTTTAATTAGCATACAGCAAGTTGTCGAACAATACAGCTAACCTACGGAGCTCTGCCCCTCTGGAGGAGAATGAGATCGGGTAGCTTCTTACCTTCCATGCCTGCAGCAGGACTTTCTTTTGCCATCTCCATATCTTTCACCTCAAAGCCCGTCAACACAGTTCCTCCCGCTGCCTCAAAATCTGCAGCATAGGCCAGGGCTACCTGCCTGTAGTTCACAATGCCGGTGTACGGGGAGTCCAAGGCCATCAAACCCTGAAAAGGTGGTGCCAGTCAGCACTCCGGTTCACGTGGTTCTTTCATACTGGACGAACGTGGACGATAAGGAGGCCACCCTTTCAAGCCAGTCCAATGTTTAGTATGGGCGGTTTGGGCCCTCGGGACTGCACTGGTTTGCCAGTCCAGGTAAGGTAGACCAGAAGGGTATTTCTAGGGTGTCTACGTGGCATTCCTGGGTAGCATATGCGGCAGAGGAGCTTTAGACTGAGGAGGATGAAAAGCCAGAGCAGAGCTAACCTCCTTCCACTTTCTGCGCTTCCAGCAAGTGGGAAAAGCGCCTGTGCTGGGGACGGTTCGGTGGGCCAGAGCGCAGGTGGGTGACATGATGCACTAAGGCAGCCACTGCTGCTCCCCCCCGCCAATTCTCCAGGGGGGCACATGGTCATTTGCTGGGGGAGGAAGTCTGGTACTGCAAGCCACTTGAGCATGGCTCTTCTCATGTTCTTACTTCCTCCCTGTGACCTACAGCAAGGCGAGACGGACGGCCACACATTCGCAAAGGCGACTGCAGCCACATGCACACTCAGACAGACGTTGTCAATTCAGTGGGGATGGGACGACTAGAGGGGCTGATGGATTCCCTGCCCGCCAAGTTTCCCGAATAGAAGAGATGCTCCACACAGAAGAGTGAGGAGGTCTGTACCCGGCAGTAGGGCTCCTTTGCTTGAATTTCTTTGGATGTTATCAGCCTCAGCCCGCGGACACTGTTCTGCAGGCCCCTCTCATACAGTGCTTTCAGCCTTGGGATTTCTTCCTGTTCAACTGCAACAATCAGCTGTGGAAAAAAACAAGAAAGGGGCCCGGTGGAAAGTGGGCTGGCCACAGAGCGAAAATGCAGATGCAAGACCAACGTGTTGCGGGTTGTGGGAAAGGTTTATTTAGCCATTCATCGCATTTTTATGCTACCCAAAAGCCAAAGCTCTCTTGCCACAATATAAAGCAACTCAAAGGCGGCACACACATTTAAACAGTTAAAGCGAGAGCACACACTAGAAGCAGGATCTAGAGTGGACCCGGCAGCAACGCAAAGACGCAGAAGTGCACCAGCTACCATACCTTGCCGCACTGCTTGTAAGGGATTCCCCTTTGGTCGCAGTATTCGTAGCAGAGGAGAGACCCCTCCACACACAGCTTTGCTTTTAGTGATCCTGGAGTGTAGTAGATCCCACTGTGAATGACGCCACTGTTGTGTCCACTCTGATGGAGAGCTAAATAGGAAGATGCGTCACAAACAGAGATCTTCAAATACATGCCACGAGAATCTTGAGAGGCTTGTTTACCTGTGTGTGTGCATGCATTTATTTATAGTATTTAGAGGAATTATGTGTGTTTATTATGCTATTAAGTGCCCAATCCTATTGGGATTCCTGTAACCCACCAAACTTGGAGGACTGCTGGCATCCTCTGCAGGGCGGAAGAGCCGTGGGGATTCAGGTTGCTTCCATGCTTCTGCCCTGCAAAGCAGCTGGATGTGGCTCACGGTGGTGCAGAGGCCCTGCCAGGATACGTTGTGCCATGACGGCGTAAGCAGTAAGCCTGCTAGATCAGATCAAAGGTCCGTCTAGTCCAACGCTCTGTACATGCGATGGCAAACCCGCTGCTCAAAGAATCCCTCAAGCAGGATGAGTGCAAGGCTTCTGCCTGCTGGAACGCTTTGGCAACGGGGACATGCAGGCATGTCTCCTCTGGTGACGGAGGGAGCACATGGCCAGCAGGGCTGGTAGCCACTGATCGCCACCTCCCTCATGCATCTGTCCAATCCCATTTCAAAGCTATCCAGACTGGCGGCCATCAGCACTTCCTATGGCAATGAATCCCGTGGTCTAAAGGAGGCAGCACATAGCCAGACAGGCCGGGAACAATGCTTCCCCTCTCGCCCTTGCCCTCAACGCCTTCTCCACGGCGGCTCTTACAACTGTGGAGAGCCGTCAGGCGTGGTTCTTTCCACACCAGCTGCCAGGGGCTCTGAGTGCGCAGCCCAAGCTCTCACGTCACGACCGGCTCCTGATGCTGGAGCTCTGCCAAATCCCAGGAGCCCTCCAGATGCTGCCTAAGAACCATGGGGTTGCTCTGCCTGATATTTTTCAAGTCCCCTTTGTCAAAAGATACCAGGGTGATATTCCAGCTGAGACCCACAATGGTCGTATCATCATACAACGCAAAATGCCGTCATGGAACAACTTTAAAAGGCAGGAAGACGTGAGGAAACATACTAACTAAAATGGCCAGGCAAACAGGTTTATTTAGCACAATATAAATTGATATAAATCTTTGCTCTAAGTGCCTAGTTCTGTTGCCTGGTCTATACCACTTCGGATTTCAGCTTGTGGAATGTTCCTCCCCGCAGAACTGGAATTCCCAACATTCGGCATCCTCATCTAGCACTCTTTCGGACACCGCCACTTTCTTTTCTCCGGGGATGCTATCCGTGCCGCAGTGGGACATACTTGCTTCCACCTCTAGGTATACATTGTTCTGCTATTTCACCCTGGCCATTGCTCCCGAAGAGGGAAGAACAGGCAGGGACAGTGAGCTGCAGAGAGGCCAGGAGGCCTGGAAGGACACTGGCAGTCCCCACAGGGAAGTGGGCCTTGCCTGCCTCTGACATGGAGCCGGAATGCTTCACTGGGACTGGGGGCACACCGCTCGCCCCAGCCGCTCTCCCTCAGCCAGGCCAATCCCACAGGGTGCGGAGAGAACGTTGACCCATCAATGTGCACCATCTTTCGCTCCTTGCCAGAGAGGCAGGACAAGAAGCAACCTCCTTTGCAAAAAGGTATGCGCCATTACAGACGGCCTTAAACCATCTTTAATCCTTGTCAGAAGGGTGGCGACACACGGCCCGAGGACGGCATGCAGACCCCTGGACGTTTCAGTGCTTCCCGTGTTGCTGCCACAGGTGCAAGGGGGTGCCTCGTTTTCAGAAAACAAGGTTACCGTCTGGCAAAGGGGCTGTCCCCTCCTTTTCTGCTGCCAAATTCCCACAGTGAGCCCTGACCCAGGGCCTGTCGAGGAGCTTTTACAAATGTCTGGCAGCATATCCAGCAGAGCGGTGGCCTGCAGTGCAGGTCTTGTGGAGCAATGTACTCCTCAGTCCCTAGAACTTGCCCAACCTTGGCTTATAAGAATGTTTTAAAATAATTATTCAGAGGTTCTGAGACACAAAAAACACACAGCAATCATATATGCTGTGTGATGCTCACATCTGCAACAGGAGATGCATTATCTGGCCAGAAATATAGGTGCAAATGGCTTTCCTGGGAAGGAGCCCTTAGCCCAACTTCCTGCACAAAGCCAGCAAGGCCTCCTATGTGGGCATATATAGGGTGTGCTCATATTCCCGACACATGGAAAAATCCCTTACTCCAACTGGGGGAGGAATTCAGTGATTGGGGCACAATCCAATCGGGGTGCCCATGACTGGTATCCATGCCCCCCCAATCTCTTAAGACAGCAGATTTCAACTGTCTAAGAGTTTTATATTCTTGCAAGGAGAGAAGCTGGAGGCACGGCAAGATTCCTCAGAAAGCTTGGTGCCCTTCTCCTCCCCTGCACACGAACACCCACCAGCAGCACCAGCTCCAGGGTTGGTCTTCTCGCTCTGGAGCTGGCGCCACTGTGGACAGAGCCACGCTGGCCTCTGTGAGTCCCACCTTTGACCTCAGAGCAATTTTCCCGGGTTGGGCTGGGACTTTGACCTTTCCTGTAGACGGCATTCAGAGGCGACGGAATTGCATCTTAATAAACTGAGTTTGGAACCTGTACATCACAGCAAGAATGAACCAATTCGCACTTCAGCAGCAGCTGGAGCTAGTGGTTAATTTTCCAGGTAGCCTACTGGCTTTTTAACATAAATAGGAGTTATGTAAAATTGGCTTTGCAGAGATGATGTTCTTAATGCATCATGACCAACTGGATTGCGCCATTTAGTAATGTTGTTGCTGTTGTTGTTATGCGCCATCAAGTCATCTCTGACTTAAGGCAACCCTATGAATGAGTGGAAAGCCTCCAAAATGACAGCTGTAAACTCAAGCCTGTGGCTCCCTTTACAGGGTCCATAGCATTTAATACACCCGGAAATTGAAAATACATGGGGGGAAACAATAGGAAAGGGCTGAGATCCAGTTATCATACCTACTTCCTTCTCTTTTTCCAGCACTCCAAAAGCAAGCGATGGATGCCGCAGGATGAGCTCCCTGGCCGATGCCAGCCCCACGATGCCCGCACCAATAATGGCAACATCAAATGTGCTGTTAAAAATGCGTTTGCAGTGAGTGATTGCAAGCGGTGTGCTTTGCACTAGCAAACAGCTTATTTCAGTACTCTAATGGGAGTTTTTACACTTCCACTTCGGTAAAATTTAAGTAGTAAATGCATGAAAGCGATAGCAAGATGCAGCTTTCCCCAAACTGCTATCCTCCAGATGAGTTGAACTGTAACTCTCATCATCCTCAGCCAACAGAGCAACTGATTCACTGGCTGGGGGTGATAGGAGTTGTAGTTCCCCGGCTGACAGTTCTCTTGTTGATAGATCCAGTTCCATCAGCCCTTTTCACAAAGACAGGGCAAACAGCCATTCGTTCTACTCTCTTCACCTTCACCCTGGGGGAACCGTGGGCCTACCGAATTTCTGCCTGCAAAGGCACCTGTTCAAGACACGAAGAAACCATGCCGGGGGCGGGTGGAGGGGCAGCCTTGCCTACTTGCTCACCGGGGTGTTTCTCGGGGTCTCCAGCAGGACGGCCCCCTCCTCCCTGCGGCGCCCTCCCTGCACCGCCTTTCGGAGCCACCTGGCTGGGACTTTGGCCGCCGGCGCCATTCCCTGCACGGGAAGCGGGGCCAAGGCCGCCCCGTCCCTCCCCAACCGGGCGCCCGCAAGGGCAGGGCCGCGACCCCCGTTCCCAGCCAGGAGCCCGGCCCTCTGCAGGGGGCGAGCCTGCGGGAGGCCGGCCCACCGCTCGGCGTCCCGGCCCGGTGGCCCGCGGGTCCGCGACGCCGCCGAGGGGCGAGGCAAGCGTGACCTGCGGCATCCCGGCCGGGCAGGCGGCTCTGTCCCGCCACACGCGCCGGGCCCGGCCGGCGACCGGGACACGCAGGCAGAAGTTCACCCGGCGCGGCTCCTTCGCCCTCGCAGCTCGGCGGAAGGGAAGGCAAGGCAAGGGAAGGGCCCGGAGGCTCCGCGGGCCCCGCGCCCACCGCGGCAGGGGCGGGGCGCCTCCCGCTGAACCTCTGCGCGGGGCCCTCCGGGGACGCGGCCCCCCGGGCGGTTCCGGGGCCAGGCCAGGCCGGCCGCCGAGGACGGGGCGCGGGCGCGCCGCTCACCGCCTGCTGCCGCCGCCGC